CATCTTTGCCGCAAAGCTCACACCGCTGCGAGCTGCCCCGGGCAGTTTCCATGTTCGTCGCCTCCACACGCAGCCCAACAAACCTCGGTGGTCAAAAGAGATACAAATCGGATACCCCAGCTGGTGGTCAAAAGAGATACAAATCGGATACCCCAGTTGGACTCCAGCCACACCGTTGCTCAACACCCAAAAATCCAGACCACGTTCATCACACCATTGCTGTCTCTCCTTGAACACATGGAACTATATTCAAAAGGTTGAACAAACAGAACAAGGGGCCCAGAGCCATAAGAGAGACCTCAGCCACTAAGAGGTCTCTCACTCCATCCTATAAACGCTCAGTCCCTACGTCGTCTCCAACCCTCGTCTCCGCTTGGGTGGGCCGGGGGGCCCCTCGCGCTGAAGGGCGTCATCTCCGAAGACCTCCCCGGCCACCTCATGGTCCTGGCCAAGGAGATGATCAAGGTCAGCGAACCAGCCAGGTCGATGAATAAAGGCCTGTTCCATTTTCAGACTGAAATATGGTCACCCTGATTGGGAAGTCGATTTATAGATGCTTCGCTGGGAACATATACATGACATACATTTCTTGATGGACCACATCCTGCACCGCTGTGTGCACTCGGCGAATCTTGGGGACTAGTACCGCCTGCAAAGATCCCAAACTCCACCATGAAATGAGGGGGTTGCTGCGGGGTTGCTACATGACAATTGGTGGTGCAGGAGCTTGTCGATCAACAGTATCTTTCATTCAACAGCTTCAAAGCTCGGACGCTCCTTGTAGTGGCCCTGCTATGCACTGTTTTTTCAAGCCCTCCAACGACTTTTTGGTCCGCCGTAACGAAAAGACACAACCTCACCGTCGGGGGCTTGATCAGCACTGTTATATACCAAGGTGGGCCCGGGGTGGCTTTTGATGGCGATGGTCGTTGGGTCTAGCATTGGGATGTTGGAACATGTTGGAACATGCTCGAATCCTAGGGGTATTCCACCAGAGTTCGTTGGGTCACCGATAATAAGAATCACGCGTTTCCACAGAAAACGTGATGTGGCGAACAGCGAGATTGAAAGAGTCTCTTAGACCAAAAGGATCTCTTTAACAATAAAAACCTGGAGACGAGAGGCTCATGGGCATTATGTTACTATATGTTGTTTACCAGCTGTCATGATGACATGGCAAATACTGTACATGCAAATACTGGCCACGAGTGAGGACGAATCCACACATATGGTCACAAAGGCCAAAGCGTCTATCTAGTGACATGTGTGCAAGTATATAGATGATCGTATGCATAGATGAAGGTTTGGCTGCACACAGTTTGCTCGAGTTTCTCCTAGAGAGATCTAGAGAGCCCAAGGCCAATCTGTCCATGGCGAATATCACTGATCAGTATGGGGTGCACCCGGAGGTGCACACCAATCCACAAGCGAAACATCCCTCATCATCACTCATCCCCCAAAGGCATCTGCAGCCTTTCTTTCTTACCTTTTCTGGATTTTAGCCACAGGTCAGCGTATTCTATGCCAACTGGCAACTATATAAAGCCACCAACTCACCAGCCAGCCCATACTCATGCAGGTCAATCATATGATGAATCATATCAACTTCTCCTACCAGCTCAAACTTTGTGAGACCAGGTTCTTCATGGTTCTTCAGCCTCTGCGCGCGCCCAACTCCACCTAGCGCGCTGGACCCACGCACTGCGCCGCGCGATCGAGCCGCGCGTTCGCGAAAGCAGTTCCTCCAAGACCTTGGATCCCAAGCTCAGCCGTTGACTTTGAACACTCAGCGAGAGGCTCCGGCCGATGGCCATCCTCAGAAGCCAAGTTCACGAACAAAACGGACGGCACCGCCGCTTTGTCTGGCCTAGTCAAGAGCCTTCAAAACTGATGGATCACATGTATTGTCTTGTTCAATCTCGTTTCTTTATATATATATATACATATAAGTCCATGGTTTTGTGCTCTCGGAACTTGATGGCCCATGCTGGCCCCATATTCATCCAGTGGCGATGGCAACCACCTGACTTCCATCTCATCATCCGAGCCACTTGAGGTCCATCACCGACTCATTGGCGCCCACCTCGTGGCCAAGGGTAGCTTTCGAACCGAGGTCACTTCAGGAGTGGAGTCAGGCACCGGGCTGACTTGGTGGGTGAAGCCGCTGGTCACTGGTGTTTATGCGGCTTGATCTGCTGGATGTCCTTTCCGCCGAACGGCGGAAAATGATGATTGCCATGATCTGCTACTTGTTCAATGACTAGACCGTCTTCCGCATGACCACTTGGAAGAAACAACATGTCAAAGCAACTTATATTGTTACAGCCGATGTCATGATCGTCCTGCAAGAATATGCTCCTGGTGGTGCAGCACAGTGTCAAAAGATCGAGCAATTCCGCCAGTTGTGCCTCGAAGGTCTGCACATGTAGGTGATCCAAGCACTTCACCCTCACCTGAGAGGGTAAAAAATAATGCAAGCAACTTCTAAACACCTGCGGATGTTTCACATGAACTACATCATCTTGTTGAACTGCACACTGCACTAAGCACACTAAGTACAGTTGGTCGGAGACAGGATTGGTGTTGCATGGTGTCGCGGTTTTTAGGGTTGTGACTTCGTGGAGAGTCATTGCCCAAGCGACTCTGGAAGTCAAATGCCACGGACATGTCAGAAATACCAGAATTTGCCTCATTGAATGGACATTGCAATTGTGATAAAGGCTTCTAGCATCTTCTAGCCATAACTTATGCTAGCATTTTCTAGCCATAACTTATGCCAACGCATGCCAACTGTCTAAAGATTGACTTCACAATGTCTGGGACCAAAAGTTCTAGAACAATGACCACCGGGGGTGGAACTTTAATCATTTAAATCAGGCCCACTGGATATGATTATGAACCAAACCCTTCTTTCACAACCTCATGGTCGAAGTTTTGACAGGTTTTGAAAGGTTCCCCAAGGACATCGAACAATTTCCGCCCAGAAAAACAGCTAAGAACACGATGTCCTACTGGAACAGGATTTCACTCACAAGATCTCACCAACTTGTAGCTGTCGCTGCTGCCCATCATAATAGGAAAGCGACTAAGAGTGCCCAGTCATCGGCCAATCCTGCGACAGGGCACAAAAATGCATCGTCCTTGCAATCACCTCTGGTTGGGTCGGTCTTGACATGGTCACTAGAGCCACTAGAGTGGCCAAGCATCAAAGAATCAAATAGGCCATTCTGGCGGTAAGGGCGATCAAACCCAGATTAAGGGCCCAGCTATATTCAATCCTGTCACCAAAAGGACAAGTATCTTCTTGGTTGATGTGCAAATAGAAGGACTATCTACACACTTTGCTGGAGGCTGACCTGTCTCGCCCCATGGTCTTTCCTCTGGACAATACACATGATCATGCCGTCGTCTATGTCATCTTGATCCCCTCAAACGAATCGGAAAACAAACTAAACAACCATTAAAAGCCACAAATTACAAATATACTATTAACAATACTCTCCTCTTCAGGCGGCATAGCCCTCACAAAGAAACAGGTGTTCACCACTTTGGCAAGGTAAGAAGTGTTGAAATCGATTCATTTTTGTCCCACCGAGTTCCACCAGTTCCAAGCCCCATGGAGGAAAAAACAGGATGGTTGTTTATATGGACCCCCCTCTTTTCAGGAAATCATTTCATGGTATATGCCATCTACTCTGAAACCAATGTAAGCTTCTCATCTGAAAAAGACCCTTCTGGCAAGGGCGATGTGACTGTTTCTGGCTGGCCAAATTCAGCGGAGTCTGCACTGCTTTCAGCTGTGACTCCCACCACACACCGTATGCCCGGCCTGCCATGCGGCCTGTCGTGCTTTTCGGCGGCGTTTTGTTTTGTACCCTGGTCACCCACCGGATCATCATGCTTTATTGGATGTATCAAACTGACCCAGAAGCCACACTCCAAAAAGACCTGGAATGAGCTGGAAGTTACTCTCCTTCCTTCCCGCCTTTGTTGTTTAGAACTTGCTTGCCATTTCCAACTTGTAGGCACTTGGATCCAGTGAGCATTCAGTCTGTGCTTAAATCCTGTATATAAGGATATTGATGTGACCACTGAACCGTAGTGATCATGTGAAGAAAAGCCCCAACACACCACAGCCATCTGGATCTCGAACTGGAGCCGTTCAGTTCATATTCTGGTGGTCCTCCTTCCTCCTGTTCCCGGTTAAGAAGGGTCGACCTCCAAAGCTAGCTGAACAATACACCATTCAGTCCAACCTTGCGTCACGCAAGCGTCCAGTGGTCCAGGTGTGTCCGAAAAATACCAACAAAATATCGACCCAGCAGCCACCTCTTCGCTTCAGCGTTGAGTCGCTGGCGAATCGTTGGGTCGCTGCTTGAGCCGGCTGATGAGAGCACAGGCGAACCAACAAAAGTTCAGAGCAGTAGCTCAGTAGCTGGAACAATGAAAGCAAACAATCAACTGAGAACCAATATGTGCACCCCAGTGCATGAACAACTTGCCTTTCACCACCTAGATTCTGTTTTCAGAGATTGAAGTATATATGATTTGGGGTCCTGGCCGAATGGCCAAATTCTGGGTGGGCCAGCCGGAAACAAAAAGAGTTTGTCGTGAAGGTGTTGGAAGCCACCAGTTAGTTTTAACGTTAAACGGTGTTTAACATTGTTTAAGAACAGGATGAAAGCAGTCTGAACTCGGGTTGTGACTATCCAACACCACAGCAAATGACAATGACGGACCGCATCCCCCAGCGAGCACGCGAAGGTTCATTTCATCCACTGCATCTGTTCAAGCGACAACAAGGAAATCCATGGCGCAAACCGACCTAGAGGTTTTCCTAGCGCTACCTCTGAAAACGCTTAAAAAAAAAAGCATTGACAGTTTGAAGTATCCAGTTCTACTAAAAAAGGTGCACACGATCTATTCTGGGCAATCCGTGGCCTCCAGTTCACTGCTCATCCGTGGCCTCCCACATCCGGAGCACGGTCTGGGGTCTCCACTGCTGAGAGGGGGCCCTGCCCGGAGAGCATCATGCGAAGCTCATCCAAGGAGATGTGGCCATCTGGCGCCGGAGAGGCCAAGCACATCGAGGTGGACCCCGAGTCGCCCCGAGAGGATGGCACCCGCCCTGGCACTAAGTTGATGGGGCACACCAAACTTCCTATAGGTCCTAAATGGACGGGGCTATGGTGCTAGGGTCCTGCGTGAGGCGATAGGTGCGGGACATGTGACATGATCACAAAAATCATATGGTACAATGGTGTCACTCAGAATTTGTGCTGAACTTTAGGTGCAAGTTGACCTTCTAGCTGGTCAACTTGCCCACGCCAAACACTTCAGACAGCATGACATAATTACGTTAAACTAAAGCCTATCATTGTTTTGCGAGGCTCAGTTCTTCTTGTTGCCCTCTCTATATATATGGGCCAATCTCTTGCTTGATTTATGCTGGGGAATCGGTTGCCGAAGCGATCAGATCTGTTCTGAAACCGGAACCGATCAGATCTGTTCTCAGATCTTTCACTCAGGCCGCCAAGGCCCGGACCGCCATTCAAATCGAAGATCTGAAAGGCATGAAAGACCACTTCGTCCAAGAGCTTTCCTGTGCCCCAGTGGGTGCTCTGTGGTCTGATCAGGGAGGATCTGGTCAGTCTGGTCAGTCTGATGAAAAGGTGACAGTCTTCATCCACTGCAACAGCCAAAGGTGACTTATCTGACGTGCAAACAGCACCCTTCACCTATTGGCATCTTGGATGACGGCTTCACATTGGCTCCAGGATGTTTATAGTATAATGCTTAAATCATGTACTGTATATCCTACTATCAAACTTCAGTACATCTGCAAGATGGTTGTGCAGGGGGAGTATGTACTCCTAATTAAACACGTTTTGCTCGTACGTCGCACATCCACCTTGACAAACACCTCCGGCAAACTCGCATTCTCAAAGTCTTTTCACGCTTCCGCGCGAACAGAACTCCCTCTGGCGAGAACTGGTGCAACCTTCTGGTTAATACATCTTAAAATCATGTAAACATATTAAGATCTCGAAGTCTGACACTCAGAAGCTTGAGATCCAAGGGATCCCAGCAAAACATCGATTCTTGGAGTGTCGTGGGCTTCAACAAACATCTGCAGCTCTCCTTGGACGTGCAACAAGCTGGCCACGAATTCCGTGTAGTTGATGTGCCCATCCTCGGCCGTCCGACGAGGATTCCGAGACTGGGCGCCGAGGAAACGAGTCCGGTGGATGTAGTGAGGTTGAAAGGCTGTCCAGACTTCCGGGGGAAATGAACAAGACTCATGTCAGACTTCACGGTTTTGGCTGGGTACACGGCCGTCTAAGGGGGCCGTCTGACTACTCTGACTCTCGTTTCGTTCATGCTGACGCAAGAGGAACAGGGGACGCTGGGCAGCGGGCCAAGATGAAGGTCCGGGTTAAGGGAACCTGCTCTGCTCTTAATCCGTATGCAAATGTACACGTGTCATTGGCAGCACGTGCTACTTCGCACAGTATCATATCACGTTTGATCATGTTTAATCAACCTCCTCTTTATATTCCCTTACTAATCCGAGCCACACCAGAGTCCACCATTCACCCAAATTGAAGGTACATTTCCCCGATGAACTGGTAGGTGATGGGCGGTGGGTGTTTCAACCCACCAACCAACCTATTTTCTAATCTGATTATATACTGATTAGGAGAGGTTTATTGATCCCGACAGTATGCTTGCCAGTTATCTTATGTTCTCTGCTCATCCAGTATGCAATTCATATGGCCGAACATATCACCTCAGGCAGCCTGAGGAAACTGTTTGTATGGGTGCTGTTCTGCACCTGGTGTTCCCTAAAACATGTCCAACCAACATTAAGGTTCAGGGTCTATAACTGTCCGTTTCAACAAATCAAAGTAAATCATTTGACAAGCTCACAAAGTGTATCACAAGGGCTGGTCCAATGCTGGTCCCCCTAAATAATCTGCACTACCCCTAGGCCTGTTCTTGTGCTTTGTTTCTTGCCTTTAAACTTTAGACATCGTTTGTAACGAATCCCTGTGAACACCTTTTGATTTTCCTTTAACGCTTATTGCAAGTTAGCTCATTATTTCAGATCATTCAGGGGAAATAGCACCTCAAACCTTGTTGAACTTTTTGACCTTGTTGACATTCCAGAGCGGGGATATATATAATCGGAAGTTGCATTATCGAGGGGAAGAAGTCAACAAAAGGCCTTATCTAGCCAGTAAAATCCCACTTCACATTCTAAGTAATCCTATCCAATATGGTACCTACAGCAGAACTGGACTGCAAGTTGCCCGAATTCATCGACTGCCTCGCAGCTGGGTCCCTCACCACCATCTGAAAAAAAGAGCCGCTCGGCCGCAGCTGGGTCCTCTCGAGTCGGCCAAGAGGCGCAGTCCATATCGATGCTCCCCACGAGCTGATGAATCACCTCCTCGGCTGCGGTCCACCCGGTGGTCCGGTCGAATCCGCCGAGTCAAACGGAGGGATTTGGAGCACGACATGATGTCTAGAGGCAGATTCCATATGAGCCTCACGAGATCACTTTGGTTAACCATTCCCTTTTTAAGTGGGCAAACATATTCCCAAACTTTTGGTGATCCACCTTTCCTGGGTAGGTCCTTCAGTCCTTCATCTCGAAGCTAAGGACAACCCGATCTGCGGCCGAGGCGGCCCACTAAGGACAACTCCTCTCATCTCCTCTTAATGTGATTGAACATTGAAATTATTGGCAGCCCAAAATCATATATACGTGATGTTGTGGTGCTTCTATTCAAACCTTCTGACCTTCTGCAACAAAGATCTCCTCAGAACCAACAGATTCCCCTTAATTCAAACAAATACCAATCAATCGAATCCATTGCTAGAGGATATTAATTCTTTAAATGTCCAGATCTTCCTTACGCTCCTTCCAATCAAGCCCGGACATTTCCCAATGACAATCCCAACTCCGTGCCTCATGCCCACCGGTCCACCGGTCCACCGGTCGGTCGGCCGGGGTGCCAGTTCCACGCCCATCTCAGCCAAGCCGTCGGCGAACTCCGAAGTCTGCAGCGGCAGCGGTGGGTGGGACGGGGCCTGGATGGCGCCTGGCGCCCCCACTTGGATGAGGCCGGGTGAGCAAGATTGAGATAAATGAGCAAGTGTTGGGAAGGTGGAGAGTATTTTTTTAGTTAGTCGTCAAGTGATCAATATAGTTACCGACAGAGCAAACCATTGCTTGGAACACAAACAGGATTGCTTTTATAAAAACATGTCGGTCATGTTGTGCCTGCAAATGGGGTCTTTGGGTTATGTATGCCAATATCAAATCCATGATGAATCGATAGGGATTGCTGACTATCCCATGTGGAATTGCTCCCACCCCGGTCCACATTTATAGTCAACATATCAACAAAATGCAGTGTCAAACACGGACTTGAAACCAAACCAAACGCCGTTCACTGCCCTTGTCAAGTTCTATAAACAAACATAAACCAAACCAAAACAGCTCGCGAGTGGCCGATCGTCCGCCCGGACCGAGAGCTTCCCGTCGTGGTCCAGGTCCAGAGAGGCGAAGGCGTCCGCCAGGTTCTGCCGTGTGCTGCGGTCGGTGGAACGGTGGGGCGGTCCGGTACGGATGGGACGGATGGCAAGTCGGGTGGGACGTATGGGGTGGGGTGGGGTTGAAGCCTTTAGGGATAGGTGAGAGTACAGGCCAGGTGACCTTGCATGAGCAGACATGAGTATATCACTATAAGCTTCGGGGACCTGAGATTGGGATGCAAAAGTGCCCAATGCTTTATTTAACCAAGGCTTTGGGTGACTACGTTTGCTGTAAGGCCATGATTGCAACTGGCCATCGATGGCAAGCCTCGATCTTGTGAGTATCCAATTGCGCCGCCATGCAATTCAAAGCAGCCTGGAGCAAGGCCGGAGGCTATTTCAGGGGGTGCCATCTGTGACTTGCAACACTTCACCAACACTTCCACTGGCTTCGCACCGAAAACAACACGGTCTAAACATCGAAACAGTACAGTCTATAGCAGATGATCACTGGTTTGCTACATGATGGACAAGTCGGACCGATCAGGGTGCAGCAAAGCACAGTGGCAAAATGGTGCACCCACCGTGATATGTTGTTGTTCTAAGTTCTAAGTGATTACGTATCGCTTTGTCCATATATGGATGAAGTGGGCTGACGCCTTTTGGTTTCACGTCCCGAGTCTCCCGTGGCCATTGAATCAGGGCAGCTCGCCTTGGAGAAATGGCTCATCTGCGCGAAGCTCACGATGCTTTTGCGGGCCTCGTCGGAAGGTCGGAAGGTGGTCGGTAATCTGAGTGATCCCTGCTTGGAGTGCCACTATAGCCAATAAATTTTAAGCATAGGGCCTTGTCTTTGTCACCAATGGATCCAAATGGTCATATTGGTGGAAGCAAAAGAACAGGAACGACCAAGTGATCTTGATGTCGAAAACTATTGCTGGCGTGACTCGGTTGTTAAACCTTACAACACTAGAAGGAACGGACATAACATTTAATGTTTCTGTGGTCATTCTCCAAGTCTCCCGGTTTCCCACACCCAAACTCACCAGCAGTAATTGGGCCGCCCCTCCTCCCCCCAGTGTTTCGCTCGGGCGTCCAGTTGGTCCGTGGTCGGTCCACATATATCAATCGGAGTATGAAATGGTTGCGAGGAAATGGATTACCACTGAAATACGGATTGGTCTCCATTTGACTTGATCTCCCAGCAAAAAGGGGGCAATGTCGCAAGTGTCTCGTTAGTTGCTGGAAGTGTAACGACATGTAACGACCTTTCACACCTGGAGCTGTAACGACATTTAGCCCGTCTGTTAAACCTTGCTTTCAGGGGGCTCCTGTAGGACCTTCCCAACATCCATGAAGAGAAAAACACACACACAAAAAAGAAAAAAGACGGATCAACCCACTGGTGCAAAAACACCCCACCACAGTTCCACCCCCAACCACCCCCCAGAAAGCCCGCCTTTCGCGCGTGCCTTCCTTGCAAGGTCGCCTGCTTGGCCTCGCAGCACCAGCCATCGCCTCGCAGCACGCAGGCACCAGCGGGGGTGGACCACTTGGGACGAATCGGAGCAGAGCAGGATCCGTCGTCCGATCTAGGGATTCGATTGGAAGCTGGAAGCTTCACCCAATAGGCGTGCGCGAGGCTTTTTCTGAGGCTTTGGACCGAGCCAAATCGTCCACTCCATTGGTGAATTATCCGACCGAAGCGTCGGAAGGTGCAGATGCAAATCCTCAAGCCATGGGGGGTTGTCGGTATAGTATAAGCCTTCCTCCCAAGCGTCCTGGGGATGCAACCTTGAGTTTGGGTGTTGGCGCACTGAACACATAGGGCATAGTGTATGGACCTGCAACCGCACCAAATTCACAACTCCAACATGTGCTGTCCCACCAAGCTCCATCAAACAAAATGATTTGCTTCCCACAATATATAACATGACTCATGACACATGAATCATATGAATCATTTGAACTAAACAAACTGGTTGGACACCCTTCCCTCCCATTGCTTCCAATCCCTAGTCCAAGATGCTCTAACTCATGCTCACTCGCATATTGCACACAAAGACTTGTTGTCAGATATGATAGCACGATATGAATGATAGTACCTAACACATAATATTGAAACTAATGCACACGGGGACACAAAAGATTAAGACGACTTCTGCAATGCATACAAACCCTATAGGCATCCACATACCTGTCCAGACCTTTCCAGAAGGTATGACTGGACTTTCCGTGCCTATGTACAAGCGTCTCCGATCACCTTCTCAAAGGATATGTGAATCCATGAGGAACGACTATATAATATCATTGAACATAGACAAAACATGACAAAACTATACTTATTGTATCTGGTATGGAAAGGTTCTGCTATGTTCTGTTACTATCTAGATTTCTCCTCACTTGTCCCCTAATGTTCCCAGTAAGTGTAGTACCAGGAGACTTCAGCTGTAGAAACCTAACAAAATGGCTGCCAAGACACTGAGAAGTTCCTTGGCTTTCGGCCTGCAACTTGGATCTTTTACCAAAATCTGCTCAATGAAGCTCACCTCGGTGTTGTCGGATGTGGACCGACCCGTCGCGATGGTCGGCCGACCCGTCGACCCGTTGCGAGTTTTGTGCCACACCATTGTTCTAAGCCTGTTTTTTCAAGCATCCAGCCAGAAAGTCATGCTGCTTTCTGGTGGCCGTGCTGGACTAGTGGACACCTTCATAGCTTCTTGGCCAGTGCCAAACACTCCATGTCAATCAAAACACCTTTCAAAGCATTGAATGCCTTCGGACTATACTCTACAAAAGCCCTACACAGCCTTTTGCCCATTTGGAGATCCTTCCCAATTCTTGCGCGTGGTCCTGCTATCAACACAACGTCGCGGCGCCTCTTTTTCATGTCAAGGTATTGTAGAGCAGCGCGTCATCCCCGCAGTGATTCTCCAGGGCGCTCGCCCGGGGAGGTCCATGCGTCCACGAGTTGCTCAACAGGTCCAACACATTGATGCAAGAAAACAAATGGAGGATACCAATTGGGCTGTTTGGACACACTCTCCGAAATCATGAGAAAAACCATAGAACACCTGGCGCTCTATGGGGATCCATGGACCTGCCCCCTCTTGTTTTAAAAGGATGACCCGTATACCTTCGCTTCGGCATCACATCGTCACATGCATGCACGTGCACCCGTGAGGTGACGGCTTCTGGCAACAGCTCTGAAACAGAGCGGTCATGAGCTTCCAATGTCTCAGATTCTAGATGGGCTGGACATGAATGTCTCTAAGAACCCTTGACGAAAGAACCACTTGATCCACTTGCATACACCATTGGATACTATCCGACTAAGGTATTGCAGGACTATCAGAACTTTTTGAACTCGATATATGAATAGATAGATATGTATATATATATTTCACAGTATATCAATCACTTTGAGATATATGCTCAGCGGGCTTGTTGAATAGGATTTGACATCTTCCCAAATAAGCCTGAAACATGGGTTTGCACAAATAAATGCAGTAATATGCAATAATCTGAATCTCAACTGAATCAACTGCAATAGAACAAAAACAGAAAGCGTGCAACGCCTCTGTACAAACAAGTAAACACAAGCCTGGAGAACCATAACACCTAGGGCTCCATCTTCAGGCCCCCATTCTTGACTACCAGCAACCTCTGAACGCTCTTCCATTATAAGGGATCTGACCGTCCTTTTCAACCGCTCTCAACTTCTGCATGTTCCTCTCGTGAGTGTCTCCAAAAAAGAGGGGATCCGAAAAGCCAAGCACCGTCAAGGAGTCATCGGAGTCACCCATAAGTTTCCCTACAAACATCTCCAGGTTGGGGGAGCTTCTAAGAAGCGTAAGCTATCCGTCCTAGCTTAAGGACCTAGGAGCGGCCTAACCCGCATGGGTGTGGATATACTTTGCCTACATCCCGCTGATTTCGCTCGCCAGTTGTGCCGGGCAAACGACACCGGTGTCGTTCGACATCGGTCGCTTCGCTTTGCTTTCGAGCCGAAACCACGTCGTCCGGTGGCAAAGCCTTGGCATCCCTTGGGGCAAAGCAATGACATGGCTAGGCCCAACACGTTGTTTTTTGTCGGCTGTTTCGTCTCACCAGACGTTCTCGGCTCACGGTGAGACCGACCCGGGATCGCACGAAGAGTGTCCTCGTGCGCTCAGTGGCTCCACGAAGAGATCGCGTGGAGCGCCTGGATGGAGCGGCGGGAGCAAAGAACGAGGGAGTTCGGAAGATACAGGATATCCTGCTGGTATATACTGCAAATACCTTAAGCAACAAGAACCGTTATTTATCATATACCTTTTTGTGTTCACACCTTTTTAAAATAACAGATTTTGGTGCTGAAGGTATGTACGCTCTCTGAAACCAACATGGAAGTGGAAATTTTCTTCTGTTTGTAGAGGAAAATTGTCATTCAAGGAGCCATTTTCCGCTTCCATGATTGTTCCAGGGAGTGTATATTATTAATTATGTGGATACTGGTACCAAAAGGGATGTACCATGATCTGACGATATCAGGAAGCATGGACCACACTCACATAGTTCTCGAAGAGTTTGTCCTCTTCCTGGTCATGCCATTCACTGACGATGAAATGTTGAGCCATTTTTGTGGATCGGTTCTTAGGGTACCTGAATGTACCTGGTCTCTTTCAATATATGTTCCCTCTCTGGACCGGGTTCTTCCAAGTGACCGAACTTGATCCCCTGGTTTGAGGTTTGAGGTCACTTAGGCCTGTAAATGGTATCTTAGAGACTCCGAAAAGGTCACTTGCAAGAAAATGAGAAATGTACTTTCTTGGGGTCTACGCCGTATTCCGCCTCATGACAGGGCTGGTACTGTCGCGGCTTTCCAATGACCATCTCAGTCACATGCCTTCCTTCAAGTGCCCTTTTGCTTCGTCACAGGTTCCAGTGCCCATTGGTGAATCGCCACTCGTCACGACTGAACGCGGTCAAAGGAGAAAGCCATGCCTACTGAGTGTTGATCAAAACCTTTGTTTGGATCGAAGGGTCTTAAGGAGCTGCTTGTATGTTGTACTTTGCGCAAGTGGCTTGCGCGCCATTTCCGGTGACATGAAGTGTTTATGCTATAGGTTTACACAAACACTTAGAGCATGCAGCATAGTACATAATAAAACAACATGTGATTATCTGTACTTGTAGCTAGTCTAAACATGTTTAAACTTATTTTAAACGTCTGTCGTCTGTCATCGTCCGATGAACCGTCAAAGGATGAAACTCCAGTCCTCCAACATGTCAGACTTGATTTCCAAGTTGCGGGTCTCAATGAATCTACATTGGAGTTCAAATATCCCAAAACTTCACAATAGAAGCAAACACATGTTCAAACTTTCGGCCAAAGAAAACAAGCAGCAAATCCTTCATCAACTTGCTGGGTGGTTGGGAATGTGCGAGGGATAGTTGTTCCATCCTGTTCCAACGGGAAACATATAAACAACAACAACAACAACAACAACAACAACAACAACAACAACAACAA